AACCCTAAGCCCAAAACCCCAAACCTTAATCCCATAGGCCCTATAAACTCCTAAACCCTCATGTAGACATCTGATCAATCAACCCCTGCCTTCAGCCTTGAATGGCCCTAAGATCAAGATCCCTACTATTTTGGGTTTAGGGTTATAACCCCTAAAACAGCCCAAAAGCATTTTTGAATCTCTACTTTAGCCTGGAGCTTCGCCTGGCGCGGTTGTCGCGCGCAGGTGTTGCAGGACATCGAGCATCAGTGGGTCCCTAAGGACTTTGTCGCAGGGTGCCTCAAGTCCGAAGCACTCTAAACCCTACACCCTGAACCCTGAACCCTAAACCCTGCACCCTGAACCCTCAACCCTAAACCCTACACCCTGAATCCTCAACCCTAAACCCTACACCCTGAACCCTCAACCCTAAACCCTACACCTTAAGGATCTACACCTTAAGGATGTTCTCGCGAACCTTCCCAAAGCCATCATACGCAGGATCTTGCTTCCAAGGTTTCGGGGAGACTTCGAGTTCAGGGTTTTAGGGTTTCGGGAGTTCAGGGTTTAGGGTGTCGGGGGTTTAGGGTGTCGGGGGTTTAGGGGGTTTGGGGTTTAGGAGCTTTAGGGTTTCGGGTCTAGGGTTTTGGGTTTGGGGGGTTTAGGGTTCAGGTTCAGGAGGTTGAGGGTTTTCCAAGGGGAGTCGTCGATTGGACCTTGCCTGCTGCGAATAAGAAGCAGAAAGCAGCAACAGCTGCATGCCCAACACCGGACTCTTAGCTGCGTACGGAGGTGACTCATTATAGTCATCCTCGAGATTACTTAGGGGTACTTAGAAATATTTTTTTATCTTTGGTTACTATAAACGCTAAGAAGCAGCTAAAATTATAATTGTTGCTAGGGGTCTAAGTTCAGTATAGATTACCCTCCTGTCATCACAAGATCAGGATGCACTGCGCCTGGAGGGCGTGGAAGCCGTCAAAGACGCAGTTGCGAAGCTCCAGGCCTTGAAGGTGTGGCCAAAGGCAGGTGATGGCTACTGCTTGGGCAGATCCCTAAACCCTAAACCCTAAACCCTAAACCCAGATGCATACACCGCGTCCGTCCAGCGATTCCAGCGTGTCAGTTCTATGAGCAGGACCTGAGACTTACGCCGGCTAATTACAACTGCTTGGGCACAATGTGGGGGTTTCCGAAAATCGGGGACCCTAATATAGTACACCTAAAAAATAGGATCCTTATTATAAGGACCCCAAAATAAGGTACCCCTTGTTTTTGGAAACTCCCATGTGTAGAGAGAGCCAGGGCCTCCTCCAAGGCATCGTGATTGCTACAAAGCAGAGCTTCCTACCTGGTTGCTCGCAGTCAAATGTCAGTTCTTGACTGCATAGGCTTTTTATTTCAACCGAGTCATGGCGACGTGCAACACGGCCGTTGGGGTTTAGAGTTTCGGGTTTTGGGGGTTTCGGATTTAGGGCTTAAGGGGTTGAGGCTTTAGGGGCCCGGGTGCGAGAAGCCTAGAGCCCCGTGAGCCCGCAATAACAATCCCAGAACCCTAAAAGTCCTGGGCCCCTTCTAGATCGTTGACAGAAGCCCTTACAGAAACAGCTGTAGAAGTCTGATAATAGAGACCCTCGATACCCTGGCAAGACCTGAAACCCCCAACCTTAATCCTGAAGTCTTAGGTCCTATGTAATGCAGGCCCAAAAAATCTAAGCCCTCAACCCTGAACCCTGAACCCTGAACCCTAAACCCTACACCCTACACCCTAAACCTCAACCCTTACCGCTTTATGCCCCAAAAAAGCGCAAGCACCCGCCCAAAGGCTGGAGCAGTGCCTGGAGTCCTCCAAGAGGCAGAAAGTCTTCAGGACCCCGGGATTAGGGTTTAGGGCTTAGGGCTTAGGGCTTAGGGTTTAGGGTTTAGGGATTAGGGTTTAGGGCCTGTTTAGTACGTTACTAACATAGGAGCCTCAAGAATTACCTATATTATTTTTTGTTGGGGGGGTTCCTTATGATACTGATATTATAAAGGACCCCAAGACCCTGTTCTAATTATTACGGCCCCTACATTAACTTGCGTTGGGACATTGGCTTTAAAGATTATGCTTCGGGTGTTCAGTTTCGTGTGGTGCTGGAACGTTTTTGTTTATTCGGGAATGCTGCAGGATGTTCTTTTTCTGAACGGCTTCTTGTGATGATTAACTCGTTTTTTGTCGGAATGTGCTGCGCTGTTGTTGGACTTGGATCTTTGCAGTCTTGCGAACCGCCTTGGTGTAGAGATTGTGCAGTGTTAGGGTTGAGGAACTAAGAATGCGGTCCCTTATTATTGATATTTCGTAGTAGTCAGGATAGTAGTTAAACCCTAAACCGTAAATTCTAAACCATAAACCCTAACCCTAAACCCTAAACCCTAAAAGAATAAGAACATAATCACTCTAATACTAATAATACCAAGAAAGGGTAGCACTAGCTTGGAGCCTGAAGATACAGGATCCCAGAGTCGGTGTGTGCAACTTTTGGGGGTTTAGGGTTTAGAGGGTTAGGGCTTACGGTTTAGGGTTTAGGGGGTTAGGGCTTAGGGTTTAGGGTTTAGGGGGCTTAGGGTTTTAAGGGTTTAGATTTAGGGCTTAGGGGGTTAAGGCTTAGGGGTTTAGGGTTTAGGGTTTAGGGGGTTAGGGCTTAGAGGTTTAGGGTTTAGGGCAGTTTCGGGTGGGTTTAACGTTCATGTCCCGCGTCCGGAACTATGACAAGGTGTTTAGGTCTGCACTAGACAGCTTCCCCGCGATTTCAATCCAGAGCTACTTGCTGCTTAGAGCTTCTACTCTCAATCCGAATTCCCAAACTACGTATTGCTTATGATTTTTCATCAAACATGAATAGTAACAATACAGTTAACATAATCAATAGTAACGCTCGCTCGTAATACTAGTCATAACCAGTAACTATAGTAAGACAAGAGTCATGACAGCCTCGTCATCCTAAACCCTAAATTCTAAACCCTGACCTACAACGCTAAACCATAAACCTTATAGAAGTTGTTGGAAACCCTTTAAAGGAAGCAAAGTCGCGGAGTCTACATGTACTAACAGCAGTCATAATAATGAATATTAGTGATCATGTTTGCAGTCTTAAATCCTTAATCCTAAACCGTACCTGAACCCTAGCGAAGCTGACTGTAGCCCTAAAAACGCAGGTCAAAGGTAAACCCTACCCTCAACCCCACACCCTACACCCTAAACCCCAAAACTCCAAACCCTAAATCCCAAACCCTTAAACGCTAAAGCTCTGAACCCTGAACCCTAAAACTCTAAACCCTAAACCTGAAACCCTAAACCCAGATGGATTCTTCTGTATGTTTGATCATGCGGATGAAAAGGGCCCTTAAAAAAAAAAAAAGATGGAGGAGTCTACTCCGGCAGTGGCATCCGGACAAGCGCCGCGAGGACGAGGAGTTGGCCACGCGCGTGCCCGGCCCCCCGGAGCGGCTTTGAGGCTCTTTCTTGAGGGTTTAGGGTTTAGGGTTTAGGGTTTAGGGTTAAGGTTTTAGGGCTTGCGGTGTAGGGTAGTTTAGGGTTTAGGGTTTAGGTTTTGGGGTTTGGGGTTTAGGGTTTGGGGTTTGGGGTTTAGTGCTTAGGGTTTGGGGTTTGGGGTGTGGGGTTTAGGGTTTAGGGTAGTGAACCCAAAACTGAGTTCTGCAATACCCAACCTTTATAAACTTTTCGGGGTTCTTATATTTCAGTAGTAACCTGAAAGTTTAAGCTTTTATTTCCCTGGATTGTTGGGGAAGCAACAAATGTTGGAAACCGGATTAAGGACAAATAGTGCTGGGATTCTCCATAACCCTAAACCCTACTTTAGGGCTTAGAGGGTTTAGGGTTTGCGGTTTTAGGGTTTTGGGGTTTTTGAAAATTTTGGGTAACCCGAATTTGGGGTTTAGGGTGCAGGGTTTACGGCTTAGTAATCTTTTTCCGAACAGGCCTAAAGCCTCTGAGCCCAGCCCGAAGGCCCCAACAGCCACAAGCTTCAAGCAGCCCCCGTGGGTGGTTCTCTACATTGGGGTCTCTGTGTTCTAGCCGTATTATTTTTGGGGAGCCCAAAACGGGACCCTGATTTAGAGAACTGCGCAGGAGCAGCCGGGCTTTGTGAGCTTTAAGGTTTTTTACTTTCGACCTGAAGCTTCTATAGGGATTGCAACGGTTTTCATCCATCGGGTGTACCGCAGAGTTTAGGGTCCACGCCAGGCTAGGCAGCTAGGCAGCAGCACTTAGCGGCAACAGCAGCATAGGCGGCACACATAGGCTATCAAAGTGCAGCGAAGTGCGATAATCGTTGTGAATTGGCACTCGTGAAAGATGAGCGCAAGATGCTGGCAAGAGCGGTTGGCCCGGGTGTCTGCTCGGGAAGCTGGGAGGCGCCTCCAAAGGCGCGATTCAGAGCAACGCCCGAATCAGGAGGACCCAGGAGAAGGAGGCAATGCGCCACGCCAAGCTTGAAATCAAGGAGGTGCTCAAGCGGTGGAGGAGGCTGCATGGGCTTGTTGAGGATGACAAACCCAGCAAGGCCAAGAAGAAGACCAAAACGCAACCACCTAGATCGTGAAATCATAGTAAGGAACACGCCATACTGGAGACATGAAAGCCGTGGCGTCTTGCATTTTCAAAAGGAATCTAGGGCTTCGTCTGCAGGTTTAAGGCAGCTTCGTTGTAGGATCCAGGAACTATAGGGGCCTAAAGAATTGCCAATATTATCTCGAGGGCTCCTTATTAGTGTGAATGTAGTAGAGGGGGCCCCAAAACCCTATTCTAATTATTCAGGCCCCTACATTATGTCCTGAAGAGCCCGAAGCCCTAAATCCTAAACCCTAAACCCTAAACCCAAAAAAACCGCAGCCGAGTGGCTGCTCTGAGGTTCCAATGGCTGCAGACGATGAAGTAGGCGCAGTTGGGACAGAGCATCCGCATGTGTTCCGGGGTTCAGAGCCGGCTCAGAGCTTAGGGTTAGGGTTTAGGGTTTAGGGCTTAGGGCTTAGGGCTTAGGGTTAGGAGTTAGGTGAGAATGATGGTGTTCACAACGATGGCCAAAATTTGCTCATGCTGAAGATGATGCAGATGAGTGCTTTCGTGGCGACGGCTTTGATGATGATGATGGTGGTGATGGTGCCAGTGATTGTTGGTTCTGCTGGAGTGATGCAGATGATGACAGGGATCATGGTTCGCGTGGACTCCATGCTAGTCGTGGTGGCGGCAATACTCCTAATCCGTAAAGCCTGACCCCCGGAGCCTCCTACGTAGAATACCTGTAGAACACCTTTACCGAAACCCCCCAGCCCCAAACCCTAAATCAAGAACCCTAATCCCGCCAAGCCCTAAACCCTAAGCCTAAACCCCTATAAACCCTAACTGCCCATCTGTAGTTTCCTTTAAACTGTGGGGACCATCTTCGTCAGGCAAAAAGACTCAGCACCCAACGTTCTATCTTGGGACTTGTGGGTAGGGTCTCAGATCAGTGCATTATTTGCTGGCAAAGCAATGCCAGTGTCAGTACCATGCTGTGGGTAGGGTTTAGGGTTTAGGGAGTTCTCTAAATTTGGGGTCCCTTGTAAGATCTCCCCCAACAAATGGCCCTGAAAGGGACCCTAATCCGGGGAACTACCCGTGTGTTCACGGGCACCGGTGAATAGCATAATCACGCGCGGTCAGATACTTTGGCCATCAGTAGAGTGCAGGGTTTGGGGGTTTGCTTGAATTGCTCTTGCTATTGCAAGTGCTACCACCGTTAGTGCTCCTGGTGGGCCTAGGCCATGTTCTTCTGTCTGCGCTCGATTAGTTTGTCGAACGAATCTTCTCCCCAAAGTGTCAGGTGTTGGCAGCTCTCGAGGCTGTATTTTGGCGACTCCGGATACTTCTAAACCCTAAAGCCTAAAGCCTAAATCACTAAACCCCTAAATCTCTAAATCTCTAAATCCCATACCCTGGTGGATGACCGTTGTGGTAAATGTCTCGAGTTTACCCTAAACCCTAAACCCTAAACCATTTGAATTACGCAACTGAAGAAGCGCTTCTCGAGGCTGATGGAGATGCTCTCCAACTGAAAGGCCACATCCTTGCTTTGGAGCTTAAGGCTAACGTAGGGGCCTAGATATTTTGGGGGTTCCTTATTATAAGTATAGTATAACATACCCCCAAACCCTATTCTAACTATTAAGGCCCTGACATTAAGGGCTTAGGGTTTGGTGTGGCAGTGTTTGTGGCAAAGCTTGTGAATCTGAAAAAAGCTTCCTGCCCTTCGCACTCGCAGGAACAGGGGCTTGAGTGCGCCGGTTATATTACAGGGTCTTACTAAGGCTGACCCGAAGAAAGGCACTGGCGTACAATTTGTTTGTCCTGCGAGAAATCTGCCTAGGACGCCCCTAAACCCTAAACAACTAACCTCTATTGGATGAGCCTGCGACAGTATGGGGAACTCGAGCAGCAAGGACCCGTAGTGGTCTTCCTTTGTAGCTGATATTCCAACCGCAACACACTGCGGCCCCTCTCCGAAGTGCTAAAGGTAATGAGCGTACATGTATATCCATACATGCATGCATGCATGCATGCACACGTGCATACATACATATACACACACATACATATACATATATATATATATGTATATACACATATACATATAGATACATACGAAGACATACATATGTTCATGCATGTACATGCATGGCGGTGTCCTGCCTTTCTTTCTTCACTCCTACCTTCGGCGAGCTGCAGCCGTCTGATCCATAACTTCAGCACGACAGACGATCTTCATGCAGCCGTCCAATGAAGCTTTGTGGTTTGGAGAGAATCCCGAAAACCCAAGTCCTAAATCCGAAACCCGGTACCCCAAACCTTGAAAAGAAAATTTCGGAGCAGTCTGTGTAGAGCGTGTGTCCGCAGCTGCCATGTTTCTCCTTGGAAAGCTTTTCACTTGTCCTGCCCTTGCTTTGGGCAGCTCTTCCAATGACGCAAAGGAGGAGCCACTTTGCAATCAGGGTGTTGCATGAGAGTAGGCCAAAGAAGCAACGCACAGCAATAAGCACGAGAAGGAGTAATGAAAGCAACGCGGGAACAGCGGCAGCAGCAGCAGACACCAGCTCCAGCACCACCAGCAACACCAGCAGCAGCAGCAGCCCCAGCACCTCCACGTCCACCTCCACGTCCACCTCCACCACCACCTCCAGCACCGACGACAACAACAAACAGCAAGAGTCGCAACACCAGCATCCCCGATGCCAGGATCTCAACTACAACGACGATGTGATGGAGCTGAATCGCGAGAATGAGGACCCAATCTGCACGATCATGGCCGCCCTGAAGGCAGCCCCGCTACCCATAGGCCCTAAAGTAGTTCCTTTTTAGGGTTCATATTTAGAATCCTATAAGGAACTACTTAGAGGGCCCCCATAGCTCATGAAACCCAGAAGAAACCACGATTGAGGGGCAGAATCCACGGGCTTCCTGTGAAGGCATCTGGCCCTCCACTCCGAACTCCCAGTGCCAACATACCGCCAACCAGCACCGTTCGCCCCTGAATCTCATCATTAAACCCCAAACCCCAGCACCCCAACCCTAAACCCTAAACTTTTTCGTTTTTACACCTGGAACCTTCACTCTGAAATTTATTCCAGTTACTCAAGCCGAATCAGACACTGGTAACGAAGAGAGAAAGGACAAGAACCAATAAGTTTGGGGTTTAGGGTTTGGGGGTTTAGGGGTTTAGATAATTCGGGGTTTAGGGTGTGCGGGTTTAATATGTAGTAAGAGTTCAGGTGCCACGGCGCCCTCCCAGTGGTCGGTATTTGTGTCCATCCTCCGACCTATTCTGGGATGCTTTCCAAGGCAGCTTGAATGTCCTAAAATGAGGGGTACCTTATTTTGGGGGTCCTTATAATAGGGATCCTACTATTTAGGGTACTATATTAGGGTCCCCTATTTTCGGCAACTCCCATTCTGGGATGTCTTCCAAGGCAGCTGGTACCGCAAACAGGACAACAGTTGTGTCGGTGAGATTTGCGGCAACAACATGATTTGGCACGTTCAGTGGAACATGCCGGAAGCGGAAAGTCTGCTGGAGCACCTCAACGATGATACGGTTTTGAATGAAGTCGACGGCCATATCCTCACGGGCAAAGTCCGTCGAGAGGCTCAAGTGACGATATCGTGGAGTGATGGTGATGTCTGGTTGTTGAAGTGATGCCGGGTCGTTGGGACAGCTTAGCGGTAATCCTGGGGTCCAGCCTGGGGTTTTAAATACCATATAGTTCTAGCACGATTGACCGGTAATATACTCAGATATTCTGATGACACTTGTGAAGGCCAAGAGAAGGAGCTGTCGCAAGAATCAAAGCATTTTCTCCGGAGTTTCTCCTCAAGACGGCAAATTAGAAATCCGCAGGACATCCCCAACCTGTCGGTTTCCTAGAGCTCAGAGAACCCAAAACCCCGTCAGAAAGGAATATACCTTAACTTCTAGCATTCATCCCCATAATTTCAGATGTATTCCTTGTTGAAGGGGTTCTGGGCTCTCTGGGTAGAAGCTCGAAATTAGTCAGCGGTTCCACGGCGAATTTGCAAAGCACTGTTCACGTGGCTTTTCCGCTGTCGTGCACAGATTACTGGCTCGCGGGCAACACAAGGAAAGGCCCTACTTTCGATCCCCTAAACCCTAAACCCTAAAACCTAAACTCTACCTGAACATTGAATAATAACCTACCTTGAACTCGCTGGGCTCCTTGTTATGACTTCCTTAGATAAGTCCTTAAACTGAAAAAGACAGGGTTCTTTAGGGTCCGGTAAACCCTCCTAGTCCTAAGCTTGGGCTTTGCTGAACTGCGGGTTCAGAGCCCCTTTTAGGGTTTAGGGTTTAGGGTTCGGGGTTTTATCTGAGTTGTTTACACCCTTCCGGATGTTTGCTTGCTGGCCGCAAACTAGATCCGCCCGAAACCTGGGCATTCGAACTGGATTTTAGCGTCTCCGAATTCGAGGCAGTGGCAGCATGGCGATCTTGCCGATTCATTTCCACATGTTCGGCCGTCGTGGCTGTCAGAGATGCTATCTGGCGACATGCCGATGTCGAAAGGTAGCTTCTGCAGACCCTGTTCCTAAATCCGAAGCCCTAGACCCTCAACCCTAAACCCTAAACCCTGCCTAAAACCCTACCTTAAGAACCCAAAACCTACCTTTTTGTAGGGTCCCTATAAATCCCATATTCGGATTTATCATAAGAACCTACAAAAAAGTGAGGTTTGGGGTTCTTAAGGTACCTTGCAGATGACTTTTCCGAAGGGCGACAAGCTTTAGCTTGGCGCAAAAGAGAATCTGGCCGCAGCTCCTGAGGGAAGGGAGGTGTTTCAGGGTTTAGGGTTTCAGGGTTTTAGGGTTTAATAGGGTTTAATAGGGTTTAATAGGGTTTAATAGGGTTTAATAGGGTTTCAGGGTTTTAGGGGTTTAGGGTTTCAGGGTTTAGGGTTTCAGGGTTTAGGTTTTAGGGTTTAGGGTTTATAGGGTTTAGGGTTTAGGGTTTATAGGGTCAAAAGGTAAAAGCTTGGACCCTAGAGCTTGGACCCTTGTTTTCGTGGTTTATGGGTCTGGATACGCCTCTGAAGTGTTGCTGGAGATGCTTGGCCCCAGGATGTTGGAGTTTGTATTCGAGGGTTATAGATCATGACTCAACAAAATTCCC